GTGGTGGTGGTGGTGACCAGGCGTCCTCCTTTTCTAGGACGTGGCCAACATTTCAGCCGTCTCTCCCCAAATGCCTTCCATTTTGAGCAGGACTAAAAAGCAGCAAGACTCAGGATGCGGGGGCTTAGTGGCTAAGGGCCTGGACAGACTGCCAGAAATAATGCAGCTTGAGTCCACTTCAACAGCCCTGGCTCAGTGCTAGGGAATCAAGGGAATTGTAGTTTTTTCTCAGACATTCAGCCTTCTCTGTCAGAGAGCTCTGGTGCCACAATAAACTACAGTTCCCAGGATTCCCTAGCACTGAGCCAGGGCAGTTAAAGTGGACTCAAGCTGGATTATTTCTGGCAGTCTGTACAGGCCCTAAGACACCAATTCTGAAGTCCCTTGGCCCTTAAAGGGGAAAGGTTGCCTACCCCTGATTTAGGGCCTTTGCAGACTGCCAGAAATAGTGCAAATTGAGTCCACTTTAAGGGTTAGGGTTAGAGAATCATGGGAACTGTATTTTATTGTGGCACCAGAGCTCTCTGACAGAGAAGGCTCAATGTCTTAGAAAAAAATACAGTTCCCATGATTCCCTAGCACTAACCCTAATCCTTAAAGTGGACTCAATTTGCACTATTTCTGGCAGTCTGCAAAGGCCCTTAGATAGCTTTAAAAAAGCTGTCAAGACAGATCTCTTCTGGAAGGTGTTTCCCGAATAGAATTCCTTGGCTATAAACAAACCCCTTACATTTGTATTATGCTGCCTCTTTGCCCTATAGACCATTTGTTATTAATAGATTTTAACAGATTATATTTTTAGACTGTGATAAGTTTAATTCTTTCTTAAGGGGGTGGGTGTGTGTAAGATATATTATCATGTATTGTTATTATGTATTGTATTGGTTTATTTTAACATGTAAGCTGTCTTGATTGCTATTATGGTAGAAAAGCAGGATACAAATGAACATTTTATTTATTATTATTATTTATCTATCATAGGAGGTTTGTTGGCTAGATTTGTTCCAAGAGTACAATATCATCCAAAAATCCACAAAACAGGTATACAGTGGGCCTTTAGTATCTGCTGGGGTTTGGTTCCAGGACCCCCCTGTAAATATCAAAATCCATGGATGCTCAAGTCTCATTATATACAATGGTGTGGTAAA